AGTAGCAATCCCCTTATCCCATAAACTATGTGCCCTCATAGGTCTTTAGCTAGTGGATCCACCTAAGCTAAGAGTATGGTTCTACCTTAAGCAATTAGGACAACCTATTTTCGATGGGGGTAAACACCGGATTACATGTTAAGCTCACATGACCTATGTCGGTTAAGGCTTATCCCACTATGATAGCATGAACAAGAATATGAATTATGAACTATAGTTGCTCAAGAAGCTTTACTTAGTATGGGTGAGAGTATGGGATCTTATTCATACATTTCACAAGTATGCTTTGATGATACTTATGGTGTGTTCCTCTTATGGTATGATGGTTTATAAGTTGATTATGCTTATGACTTATGTTTTTCCATTATCTTCAAAATGATGCTTTAACTTAGCAAATGGCAAGCATTCTACTAAAATATTCCTTTTAGCATGTTTTCATGATTTTATGCATGGCTATCATACTTAGTGCATTTTTGTACTAACCCATATTTCCTACATTTTTCCCCAAGTGTAGGATCCGGTTCTCAAGGTGGTCCCCATTGTGGCTAGAGCTTGGATTTACTCACTTCTCCTTGATTGTTGGTGAGTCCTATGATTCGAGGACGGATATTTCATTTAGTAGTTTCATTCTTGTATTTGACTTTTTGGATTATGTTGTGTGGGTTGTGACCCTCTTTGATTCAAGTCTTGTAATAGAAGGCTAATTGAGACAAGTCTAGACTTCCGCTTTGCTTTTATGAAAAACTTTTTAAGACTTGAAATGTGTTTTACTCTTATTGTTCTAATGTTTTATGTTATGATATGCTAAGTGGCTTACATAGGGCCTTTCGGGGTTCTATGTGCCTTGTAATGTCTAGTGGGTACCCTTGGGTCGTGACAATTGCTTCACCTAAAATCCTCCTCTTCGACCAACTCACCACCAGAATTACCCTTTAAACCACCAAACAACTCCATTTTTACTCTTTTCTTCGACAACCTATAACCAAACAACCCACCATTGCTTCAACCTAACACCCTTTCTCTTTCAGCAACTAAACAACAACCACTCCCCCCCCCCCCCCACTATTCATACCTCTAGATAGACACCACAACCCTCTCTTCTACTCGTCTCCATCTACGACGAGTCACCACCAACCAGCAATTCAAAAAGTACAAGTAAACAAAACCCCAACCTAAAACAACCACCAAAACAATTGAAATCCACTCTTTTGACCTCCTCTAGACCCACATCGCGAACACTGTCCAACCACCACCGTGAATCCCCATCTCCGATAAATTCGAGCAAACCAACAACGATGAACCAGAGCTCCAAGCTTCAACAACTCTAACAAATTTTCAGATCTGACTGGAAAAAAATGTTCCGATTATCCATTTTTAATCATTGTTTTGTTATTGTGTTTATACTCATTATTACATTATTTTCCATATTGTAGTAGGGGTGGCAATTTCAGCCCATATTAATGAAATGAGTCCATTTAATCCATATTTAATTACTTGGATCACTCATATTTTAATTGGGTATGTATGGGGCATCAAGCTAGTTTAAGAGCCCCTACAAATATGATCAAAATGGGTAAAATATGGCTATCCATATAGACCCATAATAGATTACTCACTTCTCACTTCTACTCAAAAAATTTAATTGTGCTAAAAAAATAAAAAAATAATATTAATTTATTTTTCAAAAAAATTAGAGGCTAGGTGGGGCTGAGAAGGGAGGGGGGTGGCAGGATTTTTTTTTTTTAAAAAAAAGACATGATTTTTCTTTTAAGAAAAACATATAAAATTTGGGGGGGGGGGGGGGGGAGTTTGGGGGCGGAGGGGGATTTTTTTTTATTTTTAAAAACATAATTTTTCGTTTTGAAAAACAAAAAAAAAATTAGGTGGGGGGCGGGGGGGAGGGGGTAAATTTTTCTTTTTTTGAAAGACAAAAAAAAAATTAGGGGTAGATTAGGTGGAAGGTGGGGGGGGGGGGGAGTGGAGGGCCTAAATTTTTTTATTTTTTTTTAAACCATAAAAAGAAACACAATTTTTTAATGGAAAAAACATATAAATTTTTGGAAATGGAGGGTGGGGGGGGGAGGTAGAATTTTTTTTAAAAAAGTGTGGGTGGGTGGGTGTAGGTGGGGGTAGAGGGGATGAAGGCGGGGTGAGGTGGAGGGGGATAAAAGGAGTGTGGGGGTTAGAAAAAATAAAATTAGGGGTGGGTGAATTGGAGGTAGGGGTGAAAGTGTGTAGAATAAAAAAATTAGTTTAGAAAATTAAAACATATAAATTCATTTTTTAGTTCTTCATTCAATGTGGATGAAATATGGGTAATTCATATCTAATCCGTCCATTAATTACCCAAATCATATTTACCCATATAGAATATGGGCAGATTGAATAATTACTCATTTTTGTTCAAACCATTTTAAACTCATTCAAATCCAACCATTTGTCACCCCTATATTGTAGGGTTGTGTCTTATGATTTTTATTGTTATTATTATTAGGGAAATTAAAGGCTCAAATATGTCATTGAACTTTGAGTAAAGGCTCATCTATGTCATCCGCTAAAAGTTTGCCTCATCTATGTCATTTCTGTTTGAGAAAAGACTCATCCATGTTATTATTTGTACGCTAAAAAAAAATTTCGATTTCGCAAAACTATTCTATACACAATCAATTATGATTCAATCACGTCATTGATTAAATTAATTTTTAAAATGAAAAAGGTTCAAAGGTTCAAATATGTCATCAAACTTTGAGAAAAGACTCATCTATATCATCCATTAAAAGTTTGGCTCAGCTATACCATTTCAGTTAATAAATAATGGCATGAATGAGCCTTTTCTCAAACGAAAATGGCATAAATGAGCCGAAATTTTAACAGATAGCATAGATAAGCCTTTTCTCAAAGTTTGATGGCATATTTGTCTCTTTGTCTGTCTTCTATATGTTGTTATCTTTATGTTTGCTTTGGAGATTATGTTTGTTTTATAGAGAGACTTTATTTTGCCATGACTATGATTGTTTTTGGAAAGGAGAACAAGCTTAAAAGATGGAGATGAATAGAAGTGGGTTATATGATCACATGCATTGGATCGGGTTAAATTGGGTAATTTAAGTAAAATCGGATTATTTTTATTGATTTGGGGTCTTCCATCCAATTGAGGGGTACGGGAGACAAGTTTGTAGACAACAAGGGTATAAATAACTTGCTATTAACGGTAAGGATAAAGTCAGGTTATAAATGAAAGTTGAGGGATATTTTTTAACCATTTTATTATACTATTTTTATCCCTAGGCTCGTCTAATATTGTGTTGCTGCTAAAAATTAAGCAAGAATTAATTATGTAAATTTTAGTTATATAGAATTTGGTTATTTTATATAAGTATTTGTTATTTCACTTTTTATCTAACATAAATAATAATAATTCTCTTATAATTGATATGTGAATTAGCTAGTTACACCGAATTGGAAGTCGGTAATCAAACACCATACTTAATGTACTAAATTGTATATATTGTAATTACAATACTATCAAACATAATTCTAATTTATGTCTACTTTTAATACATGCATAATTCACCTTCAAAATGAGCCGGGTGACTTTCATAAATCTAATAGCAACAAAAATAGTCCTCCATGTAATTAATATATACTGAGATGTAATTATTTTTCCTTACACGTAGAAATTTTGTTATTGGGCATGAAAATGTTTTTTTTTTGGGACAAAACATTTTTTTTAATTTATTTGAGGAAATCTGTGAGCATGTTCATTCGTTGTTTGTCTCCTAGTGGAATAAAATATTATACTATTGGTGTGGTGCTAGTAACGTCTCAGCATATTAAAATACTAGTAATAGTTATAAAGCTTTCAAATATTTGCTACTTGGTTGCCTTCATGTCATACACTTCAAACTATTACAAACTTTTAAGTTTTTATCATTAAATAAACTCATTAAACATTTCAATTATGCCAAAAAAAAGTTTTTAGCATTAAATAAACTCATTACACATTTCAATTATGCCAAAAAAGAATTGGTGAATTTATATTCCCAAGCGAAAGATGGGCAAGTTAAATATATATATATATATCTTTTACCACTTATGGCAAATCCTTTTCCTTATAAGTTTTTACAGATGGTAATGGATCAATTCATAATAAAAAGTAGAAAATTTGGAGTGCTTCACAAATTAAATAAGTCATGATGGATTGCAAAATATAAGCTTTATATACAATATAGCAAAGATTATTATTCCCTTGATCTCAATTTATGTGAAACTTATGGTTTTTCGATAGTCAAATCATATAAATTTTAACCAATATTATAAATTATATATTTTAAAAATCATGTTGACATGAGACTAATTGCAACTTATAGTTATTTTTGTATAGTTTTTAAATATTTAAATTTAAAAATATTTAGTTGATCTGATTGAATTTAATTTCAAAGATTAGCCAAATTAATTTGCCAAAACGATTTAACTTCTACACACTAATGTGTGATTTTCTTTTTATATTATTAGGCTATCTAAAAAATAATTATTCATAAATAATAAAATTAGTAACTTCAAAATAAAGTAAACAATTAGAGACAAATTCATGAATTGAAGTTAATGAGTTTTGACGAACCCTCGCTTGCCACAACACACATTGATTGATAGTATAAAAATAACATCATAAAAAAGGCAAAGATAGAAATAGTAGGAAGGAAAAAAGATGTTGCAAATATTATATTTGTGTTAAAAGTCCCAATGAAGAGGTGACCATCCAAATCTCCCTTATTTTATTCTCTCCCACTAATAATGAGAAATCTTGATGGAAATTCATGAGAGCCTATGCTCCAAATGATTTGTTTTCCTTCGATAATTTGCAACTTTCAACCTGGAAAACCCTCTTCCCAAATGCCATGCCATGCCACCATCTTTAGGTCTAATTTGTTTTTCAATGTGAACATTTCATGCATGACACTACTATTTATTCAAAAGATATAAACATTTTTTTCCCCTAATAGCTCCATTCTTGAAACATAAGGTGAAAATATATATCATATATTTTCTTTTCTAAAGAAAGGAATATGAATGGGCTAATGAATCAATGATATGAGTTGCCTCCCCTGTTTCCAGTCTAAGAAAACCAACGAGCCACCGGTACAGGACAAGCCTGTCCCGGTTGCTCACCCTGCTAATGATCATCCTTCCTCCTCACCACATTTTGGTATCTTCCTTCTTCTTTTTTTTTATAAAACTTTGTCTACTTTTCCTAACACATGACTAATTTTGTAATGTTTGCTTTTTTTCTTGTATTTGTATTTCAAAGAAAACAACTACAAAGCATCATGTGAAAATGGTAATAATAACAACAATCGTGCTCATCAAGATAGCCCTCCTGTTGAAAATGGAGATAGCAGCAACGCGAAAACTTTCACATTCCGTGAGCTAGCAAGCGCAACAAAGAACTTCAGACAAGAATGCCTAATAGGGGAAGGTGGATTTGGAAGAGTCTTTAAGGGAACACTTCAAGGAGGAGAGGTAACTAACTTCCTAACTAATTTTACTCAAATGAAACTACTAATCTATATATTATCTTTGTTTTTTCGTCACCATCTGATATTTCGAAATAAATAGGTTGTGGCAGTAAAGCAACTAGACAGGACTGGAACACAAGGAACCAAGGAGTTTCAAGTTGAAGTCTTATTGCTAAGTCTACTTAACCACCAAAATCTTGTTAATCTCATTGGATACAGTGCTGATGGAGATCAAAGAATTTTAGTCTATGAATACAGACCAATGGGCAGTCTTGCTGATCATCTAATTGGTAAATGCAGCTCATATATATATATATATATATATATATATATATATATATATATATATATATATAGTTGTTACTCCAAATCTATCATGCTTTCTCGAATATTAATGAATGCTTCTTTATTGATTTGCATTATTCAGACATTAAGGAGGATCAAAAGCCATTAGATTGGCAAAACAGAATGAAGATAGCCTCAGGTGCAGCAGAAGGACTTGAGTATCTACACGAGAAGGCCAACCCGCCAATCATATATCGTGATCTCAGAACTACCAATATTCTATTAGATGAAGATTTTACTCCTAGGCTCTCTGATTATGGCCTTGCCAAGCTTGCAGGTGGAGGGAATAAGTCACATATATCACCGAGGGTAATGGGAACGTATGGTTACTGTGCTCCAGAGTACGAAAGATCTGGTGAACTCTCTTTCAAGTCAGACGTATATAGTTTTGGAGTTGTTTTACTTGAAATTATTACAGGGCGACGTGCAGTGGATACTACAAGGCCCACAGAGGAGCAAAACTTAGTTGCTTGGGTGAGAAAGCAGTAGTCTCATTTCAATATTTTGATCACACTAGTTAAATTTGTGTCATTGTGATACTGATCATTTCATTGAATAGGCACAACCGATTTTCAGGAATCCGAAAAGGTTCAGAGAAATGGCGGATCCACTTCTCAAGAACAGGTTTCCTGAGAGAAGTTTGAATCAAGCAGTTGGAGTTGCAGCCATGTGTCTACAAGAAGAGCCATCAGTCCGTCCCTTAATCAGTGATGTCGTAGCTGCTCTTACTAACCTCAACGTGGATGAACCGATTCCTGAATCTCCACCGTCTCCTGAGAAAGACAACAATACAGATACAGATGAATACGAGCAGAAGAGTTCAGATAACGAAGCCTTACCAAATAAGAATGAGGATGAGAGCAGTGAGAATGATGAACAAAATGTTCATTACAATCAACAAAATGTTTTCGACAGTGATGAGGATGATGGAGCAAGTTCTGATTACGGATATGGAAGTACATCAGGATCTTCAGATAATGAGAAAGAAGACATCAGTCTTGAACCTGGAGAAGGAATGCCAACAAAATCTGTCAAATGGAGTTCGGAATCAAGACGTAAAAGCAAGATAAAGTCATCCTCTCGAACCATAAACTCAACCTCAAGACGTAAAAGCAAGGTAAAACGCTCTGCAAGTAGAATCTCAAACGACGATACTGAAAAGAAGGACACATTCAATTTAAAAGACAATAACAATCATAAACAACAAAACAACGTAAAGTCCAAGACTGTAAGTTTTAGTGGTTTTTCGAGTCAGAGCAGCGATGATGCAGAATCAGACGGTGAAAATAATATTGGTTCAAATCAGTCAAGATATGTACAATTTAGATCATGAAACCATACATCAAGATACATGGACTTATGTTACCAAGGCACCTGTAAGGTTTCTAAATAAGAGTACACTGAGGCTCTTTCATAACTATGGATCTTATTTATTTTTTTTCGTATCCTTCATGAGTACTCTTTGGATATCTGGCATTGTCATGATTCAATATCTATTTCTTTTAGAGAAAGAAATACAAGAACAAAAAGGGGAAATTACATTGAAATCAATCTTTTTGTTATCTATTTACTTTGGTTGGTCAGAGTTCGATTCTTCACGTTGTGATCCCCTCTACAATTATTTTTTAAGAGTAGATAAGAGTTCTTTTTGAAACTTCATTGTGCCCCAAATGAAAGAGGGAATTTAAATTTTCAAACTTTCTGAAAATATCATCTCCTTAACCAACCAGAAATACACATTTAATTTTTGGATTAAACATCATAGCAGATGCTTTAATATTTTAGAAACAGATCGATTTCATTGATGATGTACCGATTGTTAAGTGGATTGAAACACAAGTTTCGCGAATGAACCATTGAAAATCTAAAATATGCAATCATATGGTAATTTTTCTTATGGTTGGCCTGAGCTTGAAGATTTGAGGAAGCATATATATAACAATACATTGTGGAATTAAAGGTGATCGCAAAATTGACTTCTTTAGAAACATACATATTCTTATGAGCTTTGATATGGTGGTAGACTTGGTCAACATAATGTCTAAGATTGCATATTGCATTAAGGTCAAGGATGGTGTGTGATGTCGCCCAAATTACAATTTTTAAGTATGTATAAAGCAGTCGCTGTCAAATATAGAACTCAACTAGGTTGAGCACGAATCTCTGTGGCGAGAAATTACAATTTATGCCATAATTCACTTTTATGATCACTATTTCGAATAGGGTTTGTTGGGAATATTTAAGAATGATTTTTAATCTACGACTCATTAATAAAGAAGAACTAGAGTTATGGTATTCAAATGGCCATGGGGCGGGGTGGGTTAAACATAACCCACAAAAATTTTAACCTGCCCCGCATAACAACTTTTTTCATTTTCAACCCACCTCACTCCGCTCCACCCCGCATAACAATTTTTAACCTATGTAAGTAGATTATCACCATAAGATCTCAAATCCTTAAATGGAACACAAGTATCAAATCTTATGTAGGCATGTGACCGCATCACTTCCTTCACATTAGCATCAATTTCTGGCAGCGATCTATTTGCTTACTTTCAGCTCCTTTTTGCACCTCTTTACTTTGTTTCAGCCCAAACACTTGTATATTAGCTTATCCGTATCATTTTTACTCAAAATATATGTGAAATGATCCTCAAAATTTAGCTAAAACATAGTAACCATCTTATACTTCAAACTTTTGTTCGACAACAACTCACCGTACACCATGCAGACTCAATGCCTTAGCAACACTAATTGAACAGGGTTACTCACACTAAGGTTTGCTTAGAAGGTCTAATCAGAATCTAAAACTCATTCATTCAAAGAACAATTTGTTCAAAATCAAAGACTTTTCATGCAAATATGTAGTCCAATTGAGGATATGAACAT